ATGCATTTCAGAGGGACAGGTCATTCCATTTAAATCGTGTGTTTCAACAGTAAACTCCTTGACTCAAGACACACACAAAAGTGGGAAAGAAACATTTTAACCTCAGAAATGCTGAGCAAAGGTTCATAAAAGCTACCGTAGGATTGCATGGCCTTTTGGACATCAAAATAAAGCAAAGATCCTTGTTCTCAAGACCAAGAGGCCAAAATGGACAACTGTCATGGCAGAGTGTTTGACACTCTGTCTACATCCACACACATGCAGTATTCCCAGTACTGCAAATACTGAAGAGAAACAGAGCATACATATTTCTGTTACACAACATATGGCCCAGTTCTTTTTTTTTTCATGAAGTGACTAGACAAAACTTAATTGAAAGTAGGAGTGGTTTTATAAAGTCAATGTTATAAAAAAGTATATTTTCCTATTTCTGAAGGATATACTTTTTACTAGCCATGACAATTATTTTTAGCTTAACCTATGTACTGTTGAAATTGTCCACTGAACATATGTCTAACTGAGCAAGTATAGAGAGAGATGGGTACACACAGAAATACGTGAGAGCATCTCTAGGTGACTAAAGTTTAAATGTTATCTTGCATTGCCATTCAGGAACAGAGAGACACCAATCTGTGTAAAGCTCATAGAAGATGCTGGTAGAATACACCACTGTAAATCTGATTCTGAACTGCACAGTTTATAAATCTGTGCTCTGGTTGCTATGGTAGTGTTAGTTTTGGTTTTGGTGACTCAGGATTATGCAGCATCAAAAAGTAACTCACTTCGAAACGTGGGGTTTCTGTGTAAGAATCTTACTTAGAACTGACAAAATCAAAGAGCAAGAAATCTGCTTCGTACATAGTTTACTTGAAAATTTTGATAGCAATTTGTGCATAGTCCTTTTTTTTTCCTTTTTATAAGGAATGTATCTACCAGAGTTTTCACTGTTACTTGTGTAGGTGTGTCACACAATAATAGAGAATACACCAGATTTAAAGATAGAAAAGACTATCAAGTGAAACAATGAAAGAAATGCCTTATTCTTATGATAAGTATCTCTGCCGTGGCCTTTTCATGTGAAAAAAGATTTTTATATTTTCTTATCCTATCTCTCCTTTTACCATCCATGATTATTTAAAAATTCTGTTAGATTTATCAGATAGAAAGTTTTGTGTCAATATATATACAATATTTGTCACTATCCTTTCAAATTACCCTTTTTTTACCAGAGCTGGGTTTGATGAAATTAACTGTGATATATTAGTTTTTCTTCAACGGGGAGAGAAAAATGTTAGGACAAAATTTTTAGAAGCTACACTGTGTCTAATGCTGTTCAAAATGAAAGACAAGACAATAATTATCATGTTGGAGGTCAGAACAAAAATTCTACATCTCAAAAGCTGACTACTTTGGGTAGTGCAAAAGCTTCATCTGCATAGTTCTGTGGTCTAAAAGCCTATGGGAAATAGCTTTGAACAATGGTTGTAACACTTTTGAGAAAAAATGGAAAACCAGAGAGCACACTGATAAGAATCTCATTGCTAAATCATTGTATTGATCACTTGAAGCCTGACATTTAATTAACTGGAAATACATACACACATTGATGCTATCTCTGCAGATGTTTACATGGTTACCTCTAGATGAAAGTAGTCCTACTGAATTCAATCTTAGTATTTGCATGTGGAAAATTACATATTCAATCAGCTTTAGTGCTATGTATATACACACAAACAAAGGATTTAAGAGCACATCTAGTGTGTTGGGTAGTCTGGTAGCATCAAAACAGCCCAATAAAAATAGATCTACTTACTGTGTCCTTAAGTTGGGCACATCAGGCAGCTCAAATGGTTGTGTCTCCTTTTAGCATACTATGATTATTGTAAACACACATGCACACTTATGCAGTCATCTAATTCACTCTTGTGGTATTCTCTTGCAGTAGTAGTGACTCTTTCAGAATCAATTTTATACTCACTTTCAATATGGCCTTCAAAGAGAGTTTGCTTTAGCCCTCTGCACTGATGAATTTCACCCTCCATGCTTACGTAAATAATTGGAAAAGAATATTAGATTTCTACAGCAATTATTACTGGTAGTTACATATGTTTATCTCAATTAGTACTGAATTAGAATCTGTAGACAGTCTCATCTCCTCTCAGCTACACTGATTTTACAATGAAATTGAATGACATTAGAATGGTACGATGAGGTAAAGAATATGAGGCAAAGGCCCAGTATGCCTTTGCTATTGAAGTTACAAACTTTTATGAGAGATATGACATAGAAAAAATAAAAATACAAAAATTAAAAAAAGTTGTTGTTATTAGTAATAATAATTTTATTATTTTTTCTTGCCTTTTTTTCAGTTTTGTTGAATACAGAAAATATGAACAACTGCAGAGATTAACTAGTTTACATGAATGACAGCTCTACTTTTTGGTTAAGGAAGACCATATGCTTTGCTAGATTTAAGAGCCCCATATAATTTTCTCCAGAGCACACAGCTATCTCAGAACGACATATATATTCTACATACATGGAATATCTGAATTTCAGCTGGCTGTACAGCTGAATTATATGTTGTCTGTAGAGTCTGCAAAAAGCCTCAAACATAACATCCAACCATGAGGTGCAACCCGAAAAAATTTAAAAGTCAAGGAAAAATAAAGTCAAGAATGTGGAACATACAAATAGCTGCAGTGTATGGAAACATATTTGCTGAGGTTTTCTGAAAAAGCTGTAGATGAATCAGTGAAAAATGCCCTGGAAAAAGGAATAAAAGGAAAGTATTAGATCTGATCTTTAAAACCAGACTGCGTGATACTTAAGAGCAGAATTGAACTGTAAAACCTCTGCATTTCACTAAGAGGCCAAGAAGAGAAAGTTAGAGTTAAAGGGGGATCCATGACCAGAAAGAAAATGCTGAGCAGGAAAATTTAAATCAAGAAGAGGAGACTGGAGCCTATCAATTTGCCTAGAACTACTTTGTTGCTAATAAAGAACTGACTTAAATATTGCTTGCTGAAATCAGTGTATTACATTCTGCAGCTATATGGTTTCTTGAAGAGTCAAATTGTCAGACAGTCAACTGAGAGAGAGAAAGAGAGAAGCAGCATGTTGGAGAGGAGAGTAGTTGTACAATATCAGAGACAGGGAAGGAGAATGCAGCTTTTATCTTGCTTTACTTTTTTCTGGCTTATAGTTTTCAGGTCCTTAGGAAATGGATTGAGAGTCTGTCCCCAAGGAAGTTTGCCCATGAGGACAAGACCACAGCAGGCGGCTGGAGCCCACGCAAATCCCCTCCTTAGACATGAGTCAGGTGATCCAGCCAAGCTCCCACATGGTAACTATCCATACAGGGCTGATGGTACCAGCACTACACCAAAGCACAACTGAATCACTTGTGTGAGTAATAAAAACTCAAAGACTGCTTTTGAAGTGCACTCTGAAGAGTCAGCCATATTTTCAAACCCAGGAACCTAAAATGTACCCTGGATAGTCACACAGGCTATATACCTTCAATAGGAAGGTATAAATTAGGTGCCAGGTAATCAGTCATCCACCTACTTAACTGCAAATCTTTCTCTGGCAAATCTTTCATCTTGACTACCAGATGTTGTCTTTTGTTCTCAGTCACATTGCGCCTGCAAATTGTCATTGCATGTATCTCATACACTGCTGTATGAGTAAATCTGACAGATACTATGCAAATATCTCCGATGGAAATCTGTTCTGAAAGATATTAAGAACGGCACATTGCTGCAGGCACCTTACAGCTATTACTTCTTGTGAAATGCTGCTGACATCTTTATCAATAAAAATGGAAATAAGAACCCTGAGTTGGCTGTGAGACTGCCCACCATAAGAAGGAGACATTATAATTAGAAAAGTGCAAATCATGCAAAATTTGAAGTGCATGAGGTTTGGTGACCCTCTCAAACTATATTTTGTTTCCTATAGCTGAAAATAAACCCCACATTTTATCCCCAAAGATTATTCCATTTAAAGCAAAATACATATTGCCTTTAGCTAAAGAAACCATGGAAAATAGTTTATTATCTGTAATAGCTTGGTTCCTAGAAGTTGCAACTCCGAACAAAAAAATTTTAGTCTTTGTATCTTCAAATGCTGCACTTGTTTTCTCCCAAGAGAAAGGATGATGTGCTACCCCAGGTTTTCACATCAAGGAAGTGAACTTTAGGCAAAATGGACAATAAGCACAAGGCTTTGTTCACTGTCACACAGAATCACAGAATGTTGAGGAATGTATGTACCTTAAAGATTATCTAGTCCCAAGTCCTCCATGTGCAGGATCACCTCCCACTAGACCGGGTTGCTCAAAGCCTTATCCAGCCTGGCCTTGAACACCACCAGGGTTGGGGCATCTACAGCTTCCCTGGGCAATCTGTTCCAGTGTCTCACCACTGTGACAGTAAAGAATTTCTTTCTCATATCTAGTCTGAATTTCCCGTCTTTCAGTTTGTACCCATTACTCCTTGTGCTGTCACTACGGTTCCTGATGAAGAGTCTCTCTCCGGCTTCCCTGTGGGCCCCCTAAAGGATAGGCGCAAATGTGGAAGGAAGTGTAGGGGCAAATGGCAGCTGGTGCTTTTGTATGTCACGCCGGCCTGACGTAGTCATGTGTAACCTCCCAAAACAAAGGACCCTCAGGAGCTGTCCCATTTCTTTCCTCTTTTCCCTCCAAGTGTCTGCACGTGCCCCGTTTGTCATTACAGGCAGAAACGCGGGTGTTGCTACAGGTGACACAGAGGTCGCACGCAAGGGCTGGCAGCATCTTCAGCTGAGCTGCCCGACGCAAACCACGAACTCCCCCACTTCCACTCCCACCTCCACTCCCACTTCCACTCCGGCACCGCCCATCCCGCGCCGCTCGCGCACGCGCCCCGCCCCCTGGAGCTCTCGCGAGGTTATGCTAACGAGCAGCCACCGCCCCGCCCCTCCGGTCCCCGCCCGCCCCGCGCCCTCCGGCTGGGCGGGTGAGCGCGCGCGGCCGCGGTGCGCTGTGGGATAGTGGCGGTATAAAGTGTACGCTCGGCGCGGCCGGGGCTGAGGGGGCTGGCGCGAGCGGGGCATGAAGATGGCGGACGCCAAGCAGAAGCGGAACGAGCAGCTGAAGCGCTGGATCGGCTCCGAGACCGACCTGGAGCCGCCCGTGGTCAAGCGCAAGAAGACCAAGGTGAAGTTCGACGACGGCGCTGTGTTCCTGGCCGCCTGCTCCAGCGGGGACACTGAGGAGGTGCTGCGGTTGCTGGAGCGGGGCGCCGACATCAACTACGCCAATGTGGACGGGCTGACCGCGCTCCACCAGGTCGGTGCGGGGCTGATCGAGGGGGGCCTGGCCGGGTCAGGCAGGCGGGGAAGGGGGGGGCGAGGCCGGCTGAATGTTTCCCTCGGCGGAGGTGGAGGAGGAAGGGGCCGGAGGCGGCCGCGCTCCCTCCGCTGGGGGGTGTCGGGGCGGGGAGGCGGCGGCGGGGTCGGGCTGGGACAGGCCGGAGGGGCCGGAGCCGAGCCCCGGGGCCGGCGGGGCTGCAAGGGCGGGAGGCTGCGCCCCCTCCCCGCGGGCCGGGCGTCGGAAGGGGCGGCTGGGCCTCTCCTCTGGCGGGGAGGAGGTGCCGCTGACCCCTTTCGCTTTCCCCTGTTGGCAGCGCCTCCCTTGGAGGGCCGGGGGCAGCAGGCCCTGCCCTGAGGGGGTTGCGGGGTCGGGGGCAGCTGCTCTCCGGCGCGGGGGGGTGATTGCAGGTGAGGAGGGCGGACTCGCTTTCCCCGCTGCCCCTTGCCTGGGATCCCGGTAGCAGTTCCCTGCGTCCCCCGTCTCCACGGTTCCGCAGCAGTTGAGCCGATTAAACCCCGCTCGTGTGTGCGAGCAGGAGTGGGGAGAGACGGATCATCTATTTCTCTCCGGTTTCTATGGGGAACCAGTGTTTTGTTCCTTATATAGAAACGCGTATCAATAAGAGGCTGCTTGTTTTCGTTACCGATGGCTCCCGCCGCAGTGGGAAAGCTGAACTTCAAGGGAAGCAGGGCTCTTACATTTTTCTTCCGTGCGTTGGAAAGTAGTAAAAAACCCAATCCATCTCGCTTTGTTCTGGTTGTGAGTATGTGGGAGGGGGTTGGTGCCGAGGGAGATAACTTTCACTTGGGCCGGGGGGGAATGGAAGGGAAACTGGCTATGGAGTTTCCTCAAAATGGATGCTTTGTGCATGTTGAACTTCATAGCAGTCTGATTGGAATCTCAAAACGTTAGCCAAATAAGGAAAGACTGTGGCAATCCGGAGATAATGCGGGTTTGCCTGAATAGTTTTTTTTCTCTAGAAGGCCAAAAGCTTCCACACAATATTAGATTCACTGAATATTTGGAAAACAAAAAATGATCTTTGACAGGCTAGCTTCTCATTCTTAATTTTAGAAGTTCTTCAGTAGTTTAAAAAAAAAATCTTAGTGATTATGAGGTGTAGGTTGATCAAGTAGAAATTTTCCCAAAATGATTAGGTGAGGTAGTTAGGATATTGTTTTTATGCAGCATTTTTCTCGCATAAACCAAAAATGAGATGGTTAGTTTATTTTCTGCATTCCATATAGATTTTTCAAGGGTGTGAGACTCTAGAAATATATAAATTGCCCTGCAATTATCCCCTCCTGAAGATAAAAGTTTCTATCACTCTTTGCTCTGTTTCCTGTGTATGAGTTGTCACTTGCTCCCCTGTAAAGGGTGTTGGTTTACTTTCAGTTGTGAACTGAACTGGAAGAATGAATGTGTGTTGTGGTTAAGCCTGTCAGCATGTTACTGCAGCACAGTTACCTGACTGCAGGCTAGCCTGTCACTTCAGTATGAGTTTTATGTATTTATCCTCCTCTAATCAAGTTATGATTGCTTCATGCTTCCAGGGAGCTCTGTACTAGAAGTCATACCTTAACTGGTTAGATCCTTGGGTCTGCAAGTTACTGTACTCCAGTGATTGGTAGTGATTCGTAGGAAAGGATGACGTTTGGCTGAACTCTATTGTTAGAATAAGAGATGGTGTTATCTCTCTTTACGAAGTCCAGATGGCATTTTCAAAATGTCTTTGATACTATAAACAACAAAGCTTTCATCAGGATAATTCAGCACTTATTCTCTCCTTTTTACCTGTAGTCAGCTTGCCATTTGGAAGGTAAAAGTTGAAGGGAACAGAGGCAAAGATTTACATCACTTCTAAAATTCTCACTCTCCCACCCCCTCTTTAGTGATACCACAGGGTCTTTTCTGCTTTTATGATATTGAAAGCAAATAAGAAGATCGGTTGTAAAGTTATAATCCTCTTGAGGCAGTCCCATAAATGAATGTTGCCTGTTGCTATTTAAGAAAAAGGCATATAACAAATCCCTGCCTATAACCAACTCTGAATGGTTTCACTTCATTATTATCAATAAATCTTATTTTCCTCTAGTATGCCATATAAAAGGTGCAAGTCAAACATGATGCAGTCTATAACATGGATTCATTTAATCAGATTTGGCTGCGGCATGAACAAAGCTGTGTCTGTTCTCAAAGGAAACTTCAGAAGCTTGTCATTCTTCCTCACAGTTTTGACTGACTGATGTCAGTTGTGTCAAAGTCCGTGTTGTTGTGTTTCAGACCGCTATGGTTTGCTGTTGCTTTGTGGGTTTTTGGTTGGTTGGTTTTTTTGTTTCGTGTCATCTGTCAGATCCCATGTAGATGTTACTGCTTCACAGGAATAAATTTATCATAGCAAAGAGAAAATGATTGTACCTCTTTGGGTTGTGTCTTTTTTTTTTTTCTTCCATCAATTTTTTTTTTGCAGTTATGGAGGGCAAATGCATGTGTCTGAAATAGCAATAGAGTTAAATATTTAATATACTGTTTAGCTTCTGATTTTCCTGATGCATATGGCAGTTATAGGAAGAGACTTCAGCTGTGTTTTCTTTTCCATGGCCCAGGTAGTTGGAAGTGCTGAGGGGGAAGTACCATTAATCCTGAAATTCTGATAGACTTCAGATCTGGTCTTTAGTGGAGCATCAAGCTTTTACTAAAGCCATTAGCTAAGCTTTTCCTTTATCAATGGGGTAGAATGCCATCACCATCAGAAAGCTTTATGTGGAATTGTTTCTCTTTCTGCATATGGGAAAGAAAAAATTACAGTTGACTTGGTAACTCAGTTGTGGAAGGGGGGGATTATATTTGTAGATACCTGCTTCATGTCTTGACACTGCCAATGAGTAATTTTGATTTATATTTGCATGTGCATAAATGAGGGGACTTGAGTGCATCGTATCTGAGGATAGGTCAATTAAATTTTTTTGAGATCTTGCAGAAGGGGAAAAACTTGTCATTATGTGATTATTATTATTCCTGTATGCAATGGTGTCAAATGTCACTTACTTTAAGAACTTGTTCTAGCACAAGTTCTCAGATTAGGCCTTTAGCACAAAGGACCAAACTGTGTGTACCATTTTTCTGTCTCAGAGATATGTGCAATGTAGGATATTGCAGCAGAATAATATGTACTCTGCTGCATAACCTGCATTTATATTGTGTGCATGTGTCTGGAAGATCAGAAAACTTACTTTTAGATTAGACCTTAAATTTACAATCAGATGTCAATGTTTACAATGCATTACTTTACTAGAAGTTGGTTTTCAGTGTTGCATTTGCAGACAGTTGTCATGCAGGATGAGATCTAACTTAAAGATAAGTGCAACTTTTCTAATCTCCTTAACAATTGAATGTAACAGGAACTTGAGACAAAAAAGAAGCCCAAAGGTGAGTTGTGACCTTGCAGGTTATTAGTTTCTGCAGAGTGGGGGGGGGTAAAAGTGTCATATTCTGAAATAATGTTAAGAAGAGATAATATAATATTTTCAATAAAACCTGGTCCCTTCGAGGGCAGACGTATTTCTTCAAAGCGATGTTCAGCTCTGTCATCCTGAAAGCTTAACACCTATCCTTCCTTCCTCAGAGTTTAGACTCTCTTCTGCTTTCCCTGGCTTCCATGAAAGAGGACTTGTTTCACTAGCTCTGAGTGGAATTTATTGCTTAGGTGGCTGAAAGTAGTTTATCTAGAAGTTATGTAGAGCTTTGTACAGGAAAGAGGAGCCCACCCTTTCTGGGCAGCACATGGGAAGGCTGTGTGTAGTAGGGAGGGATCACGATGTGGCCAGTTTCCTGGAAGCCTGGATTTCCTGTGCACGCTGCTCCACTGGGAGTATGGGATGTACACTGTGGAGTACCTGCACTCTCCTGATAAAGAAAGTGGCTGAGATTAGACTGTGCTTAGGTATAACAATTTATGCAGCCTGCTTTTTGACTGCCTTTATTCTTTGAGGCTGCTCAGACTTAGGAGATAGTAACCTGGTTTTTGACCTCATTCTCTCTGGTGAGAAGGTGAGTGCTGCAGCCTAATTCCACTACATAGCATGAAAAGAATATGTCCTGATCTTACTTCTTCCTAGGGAGGGTACTACTTTGGAGCTAAGATAAGGGAAATTGTCTTGGCTGTTTGTCTGTGGGGATCATCGAGTACCTGTAGGGGGTGTTACTGGTGAAGGCCCCTGCTCCTTGATGAAGGATTCATGTGCTCTCTTTTCGTCTGGACAAATACAGTTTACTTAAACAATATTCCTTAAAGTCTGTCTCTCTGTATCAAATAGTGGTTTTCTGCAACTCCTCAACTACTAAGCTGAATATGAAGGTCAGACTGTTTTACCAACATTTACGTAGCTACATATCAGTTTGCAGGCAGAGCAGTCTGCAGTGTTAAGTACAAGTTTTGATTTGATGCCACTGTTGAAGGACTCTGCTGCATTGATCCTTTGGTAGTAATTAAGGTGTTATGTGTTTCACTGAAATCTTCCCTTTTCTAACTGAGTAAGGACAGGTGTTGCTGTCTTAATATTTCCTTGAAAAGTTCTGTCAGGACTTCTGTTGGCATATTCTTAGTACTTGATATAGTAATGAGCATTGTTACAGTTGGCATCAACTGTCCTTGTTACAACACCCTTTCAAACACCGAGTGATACCAAAGGTACATAAAATCTACCAGCACTGGATCCGTTTGCCTTAGAACTTGAGAAGAGGGCATTAAGTCACACTGTTGGGATCCTTTTTGATGAATGATAACATGGATCATGTTTGAGCTGGGGCCACAGCATGTCAAGTCGTAAGAGCAAAGAACAGGTTGTTACAGTCTTAAATCTGTAAGGTGTTTGCATCATAGCAGCAGCACCCCAACAACCAAGGGTAAGGAAGGTATGGAAATAGCTCAGAGCTATCCTAGTAAAGTTGCACTCTTTTGGAGGGGAAGCAACCTT